AAAAAAAAAAGAAAAAAAAAACGAGTACAAAACGGTCACCCATCCGAATGGATGACCGTTGCGCCCAGCCACGAGGGAGGTGATTAGTCGGATCCTGGTCCATTCGTGACTAACCCCTTCTGGTTTGCATGTCTTTTCAAGGTACAATTATTGTAGTCTACTAGGCGCGCGGACTCCCTTGGCTTTGAAACCTGTAAAAGAGCGTTTGCTTGCATAAGGATACCAGAGACGTCTAAAGTATCATAAAAATTAAAAAATTCGAATAAAATGTGTGAGTAATCGTATCATAAGATGACTACTCCGATATTCGCACAACTTCAAAAAAAGATTTTCAAGATCGATCTTTATCTTTTCAATATTCTTTCATTGAAGTAGTATTCTTTTGAAAATATAGAAAAAGTGTTTCATGAATAATTTTTTGATCCCGCATGGCAGAGCGGATCAATGAGTTTTTGGTATAAATGGTACACGATGTCTTCAGTTTCACGCAAGGTGATAGTCAATAGTGCTTAGGGTCCGGCTAATCATCTCCCTCATTGGCGGACCGGGTGCCCATCCAATTGGATGGGTGCCCCGTTTTGATGGTACTTTGCAAACCAGTTTTTTATTTCTTCTATATTGAAATACTCTTTTTTTAACTTAATTGTATTGTAAAATAAAATGATAGCAATACACATTTATTTTTATGCCACTTTAATATTCTCCCTCTACCAGAAGTGAAGAATTATGTACTGTTTTTWATAATWAACAARCTAGAATTTGGAWCTCAAAGYTATTAGGATTCTTGGAGAAATGGTCGTAAAATTAAGATTTGAGATAAATATGGTGCATACTTATCAAGCGCGAAACACTYAACAAAGCACCCTTGTCTTCCCACATTGAATACGCAYAAAGTAAAATAGACTAGCTGGTGGCTGTTTGACTGAAAATGATTGACATCCTGCATTGGTCAATGATAAAATGTCAAACCTGAGACATTTGCTAGGGTCATTGGCCTTTCAATCTCATAAAGTTATGATACAAATATATAATATAAATCAAGAATACTAATAAGGAGGGTTTTATCAGATATAAAGGTCTATGCGCATGTGACCAATTAATAGCCTCATTCTATTGGCCTAATAACTCAATAAAAGATTGATCGTAATAGTCATAAAGTACTCCGGTATCGAGACAAAATGTATCGCASAACTGCAAAGAAATGTTCAAAATCGATCTTTACCTTGTCAACATCCTCCCATTGAAGTAATGTTCTTTTGAAAATCTTTGCATCTTCATAACCATGTGCCATACATCCTTTACCGCATCGCATTCACATACATTCTCTACCGCCATATTCACAGACACCTGTAGCTAAGTAAAAGCGGCTTTAAAAAATCGGTCTTGATGTTTGATCGTTTATTTATAATATCAGAAACGTTTTTCTGTCGAACAGTATTAAATCGTTACTAGTTTGTTGCTAACATTATAATAGTTTTTCGTGAAAAGTTATTCCCTGGTCCCACATGATAGCGCCGTTGCCGGAGTTCCTGGTACAACGTCACCACGATGTGAAAACTTTTCTTATACAAAGAAAATATTTTTTTCTGAACCTTCCGCTTTAATATCTTGCACGTACTTCCACAAGTGCAGTATTCTTTATAAATTACAATTCATGATAAAAATTGAAAAAAGGAAAAACGAGCGTTTCGGCGATATATTCAAACTAGAAAGATGGGACAGTATTATGGAGTGAAACGGATTATGTTGCAACAATCTAGAAGAATTTGTTCCAATTTAAAGTGCGGCCAAAAATGATAATATTAAGAAAGAAGAGCAGAAAAGAAAAAGAAGAAGAAAAAGTAGAAAAAAAAAGAAGAAGAAAAAAAAAAAACGAGTACAAAACGGTCACCCATCCGAATGGATGACCGTTGCGCCCAGCCACGAGGGAGGTGATTAGTCGGTTCCTAGTCCATTCGTGACTAACCCCTTCTGGTTTGCATGTCTTTTCGAGGTCCGATTATTGTAGTGTACTAGGCGCGCGGGCTCCCTTGACTTTGAAACCTGTACAAGAGCGTTTCCTTGCATGAGTATACTGGACGCCTAAAGTATCATAAAAATTTCAAATAAAAAATTTGTGCAATAGTCTTATAAGATGAGTACTCCGGTATCGGGACAAAATGCAAAAGTCCTCCCACTGAAGTAATATTCTTTTGAAATTACATAAAAAGTTGTACATGAATGATTTTTCGGTCCCACATGACAGAGCGGATGACCGAGTGGTTTGTATTAATCGTACACGATGTGACGAAATTCTAATAGAAGAAAATTTTCTATATATTTTTTTCTGAACTTTATTTTGAAAGGAAAATTTTACTGAGAAAAAGTCCGTTTTCCAAGGTCGAGAGGTGTATCAATGACAACAATGCATTGCAGTCTTTGAATGTTTTATGCGGTATTTTTTGGCATTTAACGTTTTCTTACACAGCTTTATGAATGTGTTTTTTTTTTGTATAGGGAAGAAGACGATATTGTGCATGATGTTCAGCATCTGACAAGAATATTAATCTGCGCAGTTGGAAATGAAGATATGAAGTGAGTACATTATTGTACTCGAAAGATGTATTCTTTGATAAGATATTGAAAATAACTCACACTTATTTTTTTCGGCATGTATTATTGATTTTATAGGAAGRCAGCCGACCTTCTGGAGGAAGGAGCCGACCCTAGTCTAGTYGTTGATGGTATTACCGCTCTCCATCTCGCTACAGGCATGCAATCATCACTTTGCTGCCACTTCACACRGCTCTTCTTAGACCACGGGGCTAAYCCTAATGTCAAGTCATTAGAAGGACTTACTCCAGTYCATGTAGCGGCTGYGTGGGGTAACAAGGATTGCTTGAAGCTGCTAATGGAAAAAGGGGGTGATCCGTATTCAGAGGACGCAGAGGGCCGCAATGCTATTGATCTGGCCAAAGACTATGAACACGATACAAGTGCTGATACCTCAGAATACTTACATCAACTAGACAAACACTACACCTCAAAGGTCCACTCAACSACTTATAGCAATACATCCTTGACCTCGGAGATTTCAGTCTCGGAGCTTGATAAAGTGCCGTATACAAAACAAACGGACGAGGAAGAAGAGCAGCAGGAGGAGMAYGAGGAGGATGACAGACATCAAAATGTACAGCTCCAGCMGGTACAGATTCCAATTTATACGCCCGAAGCTTCCTCAAGCGCAAGTGCAGTTGGGTGTGGCTCATGGACGAGGGGAMTRAAGAGGAGGGTGAGGCGAAACAAAGTAGTGCGAAGCGTKTCAGGGAATTTACGTAAGACGTCCAGTAGGCTWGCTGGTAGATTCAGAAGCTTCAGCGATCACTTTAGTCCGAGTTCTGGTAACTAACTGTAGATAATAAGAGCTTTAATCCCAATATTTCTCAGGATTTAATATTTTCAAATACATTGGTTTGTACATATGRTTACATTTTATTTTGTGTACAATAATTTCATTTAATTATTAAAAAAACTGAATAACSTCCATGCAGTTTATTTGCTTTCATGACTACCGAGCATAGTGTATAACTTCATCTTCGGGAAACCAGGGGTAATCTTCTGTCCTTCCCAGGGCTATTTTTTTCTGGTAGTGAGTAACGAACGACGGAAAGTTACCCCTTCCTTCTATACATAAAAGACAACGCAACACATTGCGCGCAGATGCGCACTCTCAAAACTTGCGCAAGCAGCTTTTCATACACGCGCGCGCTATCCATCTTATGTCACAGAAGACAACCTAACCGATGGATGAACGCCTTGAATCCTTTGATTGTTGATTACTTAGCGTGGTTATGGGAAATTGTCTGCAAGGTTTGAGCAAATGTATTGATGAAATCAAAGATGGAAGCAACAGTGGAGCATATGGTAAGTGTGATAATTCTTTTTTGATAAATTTGATGGCAGGATCTTCAATGTTTCTTTGCAAACTTTAAATATGGTTAGAAACAAATGAATGAAAATAGTTTCCTTTTGTACATGAAACTCCAGTTATCATACTAAATTGAGATAGGTATTGGCAACTCCACCTCACGAATAATTGATGAGTTTGAGGAGCGTCGCCATCCAATAGGAGCTAAATTAATCGTTAGAGTGACTGTCATAACTGTTTTCAAGATTAAAATCTTTTTTGTCTCCTCTTGAAGAACCCAAGATGGATCAAMTTTTACTTAAAAGAATAATTATGCTTGAAGAAAGAGTGATTGAGCAGGTACAATAAATCTGTTTCCTTTTTTAAGTTTTTGTGTTGTATATATCGAAATGTCGATTTATCTATGTGCCTTTCRACCTGTTTTTTGATTGTAGGACATAGACATGAAGAGTCTTAAAGCCTTCCTATCGCGTCTTGAAATCCGTCGTCTGGAGGACAAGGAAAAGGTTCGCTCCCTTGAATTCTCGATGAAAAAGTTGAAACACGTGTCTTGGCAAAATAGTGGTATTYCCTTGAAAGATGAAGAAGACCGTATTACCAAAGTTGGTGAAGCGATCAAGGTAAACTGAGTCCWGTAATTTAACATAGGTATACTATGTTGTTGAAGCTCATTCTCAAAATTACAACCGCATGAACTGTACATATCATTATTCTATCAGGATTTAAGGTTGAGGCTAGACATGCARAGCTCATTACTTCGAAATATTAACAACGACGATAATTATGACAAGGTACGTGAATATTAAAGGTGCAGTTTGTGTTTTTTATATGCTATAACCCGGACTTTAACTAAGTTCTTTTGATTCTAATAACAAGTTAATCTGACCAGTCTTCACCTTACTGGAGTCCCTTCTGAAGTGAAAAAACATGTTATTCAAAATTTTGAGGGGAGCACGCTCCTGAACCCCTCTAGTTCGGCCCATYTCCGGTGGTYGATGGATACAGGGCTTCACGGCTCCYCATTTCGTATTGATTGCTGAATCCGCTATCTGAAATGCAAACTGGTAGTATAGAGACCCGTTTACATTTGGAATTTTTGAAGCGCGATTGTCGCGCGATAATMGCCTAAGTTTAGAAYATGCCGCGGCTATTGCAGCGCTGTTTACATGTACGATTTGAGGAGGGCAAGAACAACATGACAAACGCGCTGCAAAAATCGCAAGTGTAAGCGGGCATTTACCGCATCGTAATGGACGATTTTTTGTATCTTGTAGGATGAAAATGGCAAACTAGTCGACGCACTTGAGAAAGGAATCAGACAGGGACGTAAGCACCTCATTAACCTAGAACAACTATTTCAACCTTTTTCTATGGACACAAACAACTCCCTGAGTAGACCTGATACCTATGATCAAGATACAACTATAAGCCTGTAATCACTGTTGATCGTGGGAATACTTTTATTGTAATGACGTGTGGAATATAAAAAACCGTCTATGTACATGTTAGTTTTGTTTTTCTCATTTGAAAAAACTGTAAAAACTGCGCTTGAAGAGTATCGGTGGTTACGCGTAGCTAAACTCTTTTGCTGCACTCGTAGTGTTATTTCTATTTGCTGTAGCTTGCGTTGTTGCAGTTGGTATCGCCGTTGCTGTTGTTGTAGAGGTTGCTGCTGCTGCTGTTATATCTGTTGATATTGTTCTTGGATTTGTTCTTCCTGAACTCACGTTGCCAGCACGAAACACAGTTTCAACGTTTAATCATATTTTATCTATACTGATTTCCTTCTTCTTCGTTCTTTGTAAAGATGACTTGAATAAGATCGTAATAGAATAGCAACCTTCATCATGATTCTTTTTCATCATCATCATCATCATCAACAGGCGACCTAGTGACCTGCTTTCGAAGCTATCACGCCGCCACCCATCACAGTCAACCATTTCAACGGGGAGGTCCTCTCTCTCAATTCCCGAATCCCTTACTATAGCGTCTAGGATAGTGAGCCCTCGGTCGAGGACAGTTCTGCTGGGTCTCTATAGCAATAGATCACTTCTTTTTAATTCGACTTTCGTGCACTTCCGTGAACTATAGCATGCAACCACTTCTTGAACTAAGTCAAAAGATAAAAGCAACTATCAATCAAGCTACATATTTTGCAGTCTTTCCAAAATTTGGTTCAACGTTGTTCTCATTCTTAACACCTCTTCCCTTAGTGTTTGTATATTTTGATCCGAATTTGATTTAACTTCAATAGTACGAGGAAATGTCGGTCTGTTAATCTCTTCAATTGGATAATCTGTAAAACAAGAATAAAATAGAATTTCATTTCATTTAGTTCTTATTAAAAGGACCACTTCCATAGTCCGAGAGCAGCGATCGTTTCTTTTGCATAAAAAAGGATCTGTTGTCTCTTGATTGGTTCAAAATCAAATATGGTGATTTTTTGATATGTGAGAGAATCGCGCAATGGTTTTCGGATGTATATGGTGTACATGCAGACTGTTTGTGTGGATTTATTGAGTGCGTTTTAGTTGTTTAGTAAATCTCCTTCATTTTGAATGGGTTCGCTATCTATATTACCTCTCCTGTCATCCCTGGTAAACGTCTTGTCCTTAGACATTTCAACAATCCTTGTTTTACAACACTTCCTGAAAATRCGATTACCAAAGAGGTTGTATTTTTTGTTGAGTTGATCTATGACTGTACCAGTAATTACGATGACGCTTAATGCAATGCCAGAAATAAATAAATAGCCAGTCCTGCCTTCAGTTGTGAATAGACCAGGAAAGTCTGTGTTGAAGTCGAATATCTAAAATTGGGAATTAACATTTAGCCTGTTATTAGTATGCTTCAGCTTCATTTACAATGCCTAATCATTTTCATCGGCATCATATAACCATTTTCATCATAATCATGGACACGCATCGTTATCAGGCTCGGATGAAGTCATGCAGTATCAGGATACAGTCAGATTCAATTGGATAGGGATTACAGTTGAGATCTAAGGGATCAATATAAGAGGACTTTTATATTATCAGACGCTTTGATGAAAAAATGCCCGATTACCACGTTAAGACTATTTATTTTTATCTATATTATAGCTATCATAGCTCTCTAGTCTATCACATCATCATCATCATCAACATCATCATCATCATCATCATCATACCTTTAATTGTTTTGTGTATCTTTCCAAAAAACTCGAAGTTCCATATCTGTTCTGTATGTTCTTAAAACACTCCATCTGTATGTGCTGTGATTGGTCGTCTAGGAACGCGATTGAGTAGGTATACTCGTATGAAAGACTAGCCAACATCCTTAAATCATCGCTCTTCAGAATGTCGATAAAGTAGGCTCCAACATACTGATCAATTAATATTGCGTTGACTTCATCTGCATATAAAGCATCGCGCATTGCCTTGAACGATTTGAATCCTGGGAAGGACAGAGAGAGAATAATACAATTATGAGGACTATTTTAAAATGTTACATCATCAGCCTACATTTCATCATCATCATCATCATCATGCATCGTCATTCATCATGCATTATTTTTCAATATGGCTTCTTTATAAATCTCTCTTGTTGGTATCATAATCAGTTTCATTATTTTATTATTATCATGTGATCGTCATTATCATTCATCGTCATTCATCATGTATTATTTTCCAATATGCTTATTTATAAATCTCTCTTGTTTGTATCATAATCAGAATTATTATCATTGATGTCAATTAATGTAATTACTTTTAGGAATTGCTCCATGTTTGGCAGCTTGATGCGAGGCATCGGTTGATGATAGCACTCCAACCTGTCAACAAAACGTCTGTCACTAAAACTCCATGTTTCTTTAAAACACAAGTACCTTTCAAACTCTTCTTTTGAAAGATCATATTTCTATATTTTCTTTCATGCAGATCCTAGATAACAGCATCGAATAGTTCATGTCTCAAAAAGAAGTCCATACCTCTGCTTGTGCAATTCCGTTGAATTCTAAAGACATTATCGCATTGCTTGCTGTTGCTGTAAACATGGCGACCATCACTAATCCAAATGCTATCCATACTGAAGCAAATAATCGTCCCAACACAGTCCTCGGTGTCTTATCGCCATACCTGCAATCATCATATCACAATTTTCATGTTATAATTCATCTTGCATTTCCTATATTGTGCTTTAACACGAAAAAGATCATCGTTTTCAAAACGCGTTTTAAAAAATATTTACTTCGAAAGCATTCGAAATAATATCCGGACTCGTGGTGGTTTCGCACAAACGATTAAAACGCATAACATAATGTGCGGTTTCTGAAATATCGTATATATCCATCAATATACGAAGTTTAAACACTACACGACATCATAATATGCGGTTTCTGAAATATCCAGCTAAATACAACGTTTAAACGCAGCATCATAAGTGAAACATACCCGACAGTTGTCATGGATACGAACGCCCACCAAAAGCCTTCAAACCATCCTCTTGAGAAGGAGGCTCCGAAGTCATCGCCGTTGCTTTGGCATTCCTAGATACAAAGGCAATCCAATCATGACTAGTTGTGATAGGGTATCAGAGATAGTCGCAATGAGACAGTCATTTTTTGAATGAGGGGATGGAATGAATGACGATCCTATAAAGCGCAGATCATAGAGGGGAGGGGAGGTTGCATTGAAACCCCCCCTCAAAGCATTGACGATAGATCTATTCGTGGCGTTTTTTTGATCGCTTCAATAATGACTGACCTCGTATTGTCTTTGAAAAGGATAACGGAAGGAAAAATAACTTTTATATTTTTGAAGATTAGTTAAGTGGATATATAAACTGAAGACTCTGGCTCACAATACCGTCATGCTTTGCTCGCTTGCGTGCGTCGCTGGATGCTGACAATTTCTTCATAACTCACCAAAATCCATACACAGATTCCTGATAGCCCTGCAAACACGAACGTCAAAGCAAACAAAGGCCAAGACTTAAAGAGATTATTAAACATGGTGTCCTTAAGCCATTGATTATAGTTGCCTTTATGTATTATAAGTGCACGGTCTTTTCCCTGTATTGCAGACTGTAACACGATTGGAGTCCCTTTGTACCACGGCCACGTCAGGTTTACTGCCATGGTTGATGCAACGGGGAAGGCTATGTTTCCTTGGTAGTCGTGAATTGCTTGAAGGAGTTCTTTTACGTTGTCGAAAGCCTGAAAGTTTACCATTTTTAGTGGTATTATTTGCCTATCATGATCAGGTGATGACTTTGAAAGCGCACGCGCGAAGGTTATTTTTCCATCAATACCAAACTGTCACACACAAACCTGAAATGTTATGTTACATTCCTTGTAACACATTCTAATGGCCGACATAAAAAAATCCACAAGGACTCCTCCTACTGGTGGCGCAACTCCATTATTTAARCTGGTGTTTCTAGTGATGACATACGGTGGATTATCCACTACTAGTATCTTAATTGAACCATTTTTTGAACACTCAATGTGACGTGGGTCGATGGCGAGGTGCCTTTTCATGTAAGGACCCAGTGATTCTCCACGCGCCTGTTTGATGACAATAAATGTGATAAGAAACAACCATCCAATTGCATGGCTATAATTCATCTGAAATTAGAAATACAAGATTAATTTGACTGCATTTTTGTGTATTATTGAATACTCAGATTGGGTATATAACTAGTTATTAGCCAGGATATTCACCTTTCGTGACCGTCATACGGTAAAACGTAACACTGAATAGAAACCTCGATGAATAGTGCTTAACTTGAAATCAGGCTCTTTAGGTTCTTAAATGGGCTTCTTAATTATTTTTTTTTGTAAGAAAATGAGTACTAAGGAGTACTAAGTGTTATTGCTATTTAGATCTTTCAAGTACACAGTACAAGCACTTAAATATACAGTGTTACATGTTATTGTATTTCGCTTCATGCTACAAATGATGTTAGATGAAAGCGCGCATCTGCAATTCATGCCGGAAATGCGCATTTTTATAATTTGAAATAATATGATTCAACGATATTTACACCTGTTAGGCATGAATCATGTCTTTTATGCCAAACACGCTGAATATCTCGATAATATCGCTTTTTTATACGGTCTTTATGAGTAAATGGCATGTAATCTTGAAAAMTTCATGCCAACAACTGAAAATTTGCCAAAGACTGTGCATTAAGTTTTAAAGGACATAATTGAAAGGGTTCGTTTATGTGAAGGGTGTAAATTTAAAATGAAAACCTCATGCTGACAGGTTTTTAAATTCTAGGTTCATATACGCTTGGTTTTACTGGATCTTGTGTGTTCGCATCAGTTGATCATAGAAAAAAGTATTTTTTTTCTTTTGCATTTGATTTTTCTTAAAATTCTTCCCGGCTCTAAAATTGTGGTATAAAACTAATTTCAAACGATGTTTTCCTATCGGATATGTAAACTGTTGTGATGAGCCCATGTACTTCCTGCGCTCTTAGGTCCACTTTATTGATTGTAGTCATGTAAAGTCAAAACAAGTCAAACCCGTGCACAATTATATCAATATGTAATGACCGTGTTCATTACTGTGAAACGAAAGTAAATTTCTCGAATATTCTTATCCATCCAGATATTACTTAATGCCGATTGGCTTATAGTTATGTTGCTTTATTGACATCATGATTAGAAAAATATCATTAAAACTCGATGTATACAATCTCCAATCGTTATTATAAAAGCAGCCGGAAATTTCAGTCTGAAAAGACAAAATAATAGTTGGAGTCCTAGATATTCAACAAAATATTAATTGTACAGTACAAAGATATAATCTTACGTCATTTTTTTTTCATGTAAACAGTGTAAAAGCTTACTAGATCGGACAAACTAGAAAATATCCCCGCTATGGAAAATCGAGAACTAAATAATCTTGAGTTAAGTTGTGTCAATACAGCAATTATTGACAAGTCCCCTTCTATCTAGGTTATTAATTTTTTTTTCAAAAATGTTCATTGGATCCAAATAAAGTCTCACTTGTGGCAAGTCAAAGTAAGTAATTARTTTTGGATTTCTAATAATCAAGCTGCTGGCGTCAAATTTGTCAAAGTGTATTAACTTCCTCAGCCATAGAGACTCTCGGTCATGCGCACTGTCTAGACACCTGTTCTAACTTTAATGGCAGGTAGCTTTTGGCACTCGTATMAGAAACTGAAGCAAGAACGTTTCCTAACTCGTTGTTTGCATTCATTTTAGGTGGCAAATACCCAGAAGTTTATATTGTTTCAATTAAATTTGTAGTTTTTACTCCGCCTAGTAAATCCCTGACACTATAACAAAAGAAGTAGTCAGTTGTAATTAAGAGAATTATTCATTTGGGACATCATCGCTGGTAAATATTAAGCTATATAAGTGCTATTTAATTTGAAAGACTGTATTGAATGGCTAATCGTTTAAAAAATTATAAACTTGTACATGTCTATATGGTAAGAATATTTGTTCGCACAAAAAAATCTTAAAGTGTTTCAAAAGTTCTCGTATATCATCTCAGTTGATAGCGSCTGTAATCTTCACTCATCTTAGTTAAATAGAGGAAAAACTCGTTAGGTTAGCAGACAAGTTGAGCATAGCTTTTATCATCATTTCACAATAGAAATTAACTACTATCAGAGTATGCGCTAGAGACCCTGCTCGCTTAATTATTTGCAAATTGACCAATGTTTTTAGATGAACTATTATGTTGTCCGCGAAAACAAATCGAAGAWTGTAAATATATTGATAATAATAACTTTTTTCCATGAAGTTTCTGCCTTTGAACTAGCTAGTCTCTTACAGTGAATGACAGTTATTGACTAACGTTTATTGAAAGTAAAGCTAGTACCGAAAGCCAAAACATTCAGGGTCTTATTAAAGTTTAGTTCGGCCATGATAAATCATTCAACTCATTTACTTGTTTGCTTTCTCTTTCTGTCGCTTCTTTTTAAAGAAGTCAAAAATTGTCTAAAGCAWTAGTCTAAACAGCTAGACGTCGCACTGAATCTGGAAAATTTTGATGAAGTTTTATGTAAAAATCATACCTCCACTTTATGATGTAGTCTCAATTAAACTTGTACTCGCCAAACAAACTTGTACTATTGCTGTACTATTGCGTTTTCTCGCCTTTATCATTGCGTCTTAAAAACCGGTTAAAATTCACGATTGACTTGAGCAGGTGTTACTAACAGAATTGTTGTCGATGCCAGCAATGCGAGTCCTGCAATAAAATTGCGAAGTTAAAAAAAGTCAATTACAAAGTTATTTGCATAGTACTCTATTTGACATTCACGGCATGGATTCAAAACTAAGATGTAATTAAACGTGGATAAATTATCATAGATTGACACAATAAACTGACTTTGATAAGTTTAGATTCAGCTTAAAGTAAATTCAAATGTCATTCGTACGTTATTATTAATTATTTGGAATTCTTTACTAGGATTAGCTTTGTTCTGTTTCTGGCACCTGGACAATTTTCTCGCAATGCAGTTTCACATTTTGTCTGTCTGTGGAGTTTTTATTTTGGAATTTGTTGCATTTCGTCGCACAATTCATTTCAGCGTTTTATGATCGGCGTAACCACAATGCATTTCGTCGATTTATTTTAGCTGAACTGAACACAATGTATTCTTATGAAACGTAATAGTTTCCGGACGTTTTTGCTAAAATGACAAGATCATAGCTGCAGGTACGGCACCATGATTGCGGTCCACGCCTGTAGCGGAGCTTTTGCGCTCTCTGATGTTAATATTGATATTGAATGTTATACAAATGATGCATTTTGCCTGTGCAACCACGGTATGCTACCATCCTGAAGAAAAATGGTAAGCATAATTTGTTCAGATGTTTTATCAATCAGTGATAGTGTCAAAAAACAAGAACCAATTTTTCTAAAAAAAAAAATAAATTCATAAATAAACAAACAAAAAAAAAACAAAACAATTTTTTTTACTTTGCACTTCCTTAAATTCAAGATGGCGGCCGGATGTATCATCGCCCGTTTTCATGGGCTCCCTGTRGATGAATCGTGATGCTTTGCGGTCATAGTGTTATGGCGGATTGCACGTGGATTTGTGAAAATATGAAATGTTTTGGAGGTAAAAATGTTTAAAAACTACTTATATTTCATCAGTGCTTTAATTCTGTCGACAAAAAGACCTTGTAGACTCATATACAACATAAATATGTTGATTTATTTGTGATTTTAGGCTAAACATGTTGAATTTGCTGCTTTGAAGTCGAGAGTTGACAGCTGTGTTTCTGAGACGTGCAAAACAGCGTCAAAATTTGTTGAGTTGTGGAGCTTGAAGAGGTGGTAAGAATAGTCATAACTGTTGTTAATTTAGGAAAAAGTGAACGTTCATATTATCAAGGAATGGCAAGAAAAGTAGTTGTTAAAAATCAGAAACAGGACCACCCTCTCCCTGGTTCTTCCTCCCTGTTCTCCCCCCCCCCCTGTATGCGCTTATGTAAGCTTAATTCAAGAACGTGAAACCATTCCTATAAAATGGTTATTTCCTGAACTATTCTTTTAATGTCATAAACAAAACAAGCTGTTGTCTCAATTCGCTTTGAGAGAATAATATTACTTATTGTTATCAATATTATTACGGCTGTGAAAAGAGCAATTGTAAATAGTTATTGTCACATTTCTACAGAAATGTTTTGTTACCTGTGTATGGGATGGGGGGAGGGGGGGAGGGGGTAACAAACTCCAAATATTGAATATATTGAATGTTATATAAATGATGCCTTATTGTAACCATGGTATGGACCATACTACCATCCTGAGGAAAAAATGGGAAGCATTAGTTTCTACTTTACATACATGCACAAGTGTTGTATACAGAAAGGACGGTAAGGTAAGTCATTCTGTTACCTAATTATCTAAGCCAATTGATGTCTTTGTCTGCGGACATTTTTTGGGAAGTACACAGAACTTACTCTCATCTTTTAAGACAGACAAATATTGTGTTATCACATTGTCAGTTAGCAAGTAACAGGGTAGCCCCCACGCATATGAATGAAATAATAATAGTAATCACATGTGCTATTTGAGCGATCGTCCTTTGTTTATTATTTTGGTTGAGACTAGGTGATGATATTGCATAAATGTGTACCTTACATGCGTAGTTTTTTTTGTATCAAGCAAACAGCTGTGAAGTTTGATGACCTAATGACCAATTAACCAATCATGACTTGTGTTAGAACCAAAACCAAGTGAGAGCCAATCAGAAACTACTTTATATGCTCTGTTGTATTGTTATTGAGGAAGGACTTATTGAGTCTGCAGTAACAAAAATGGTGATAGTGTAGATGATTATWATGATGATATAATTACGGCAATTATCAGAGCAGAATTCAACACGGATCACAACATCGACAAATCAAGCTGGCAATGGAAACACAACTCGGAGATTGTAGTGTGATTTGAAAAAAAAAAACAGAATATGAAATTGAAAAGTGTACCATAGAGCTTATCATGATCAGCTAAAATATTGTATTGCTGTAGTATCATCAACAAACCTACGATCGCAGTCAGTCTTCGCCGGCAACAAATTCGGCTACAAAACTTGTTTTAATTGCTATCCATCCAAATTTTCTAACTTTCTTCAAAATGACTAAGTATGATGTTCTCCAAGTAAGTCAAGTAAATTTCACCGAAAATTGTCTCTTAGACCAGCTTTAGACTTTATATTTTCCCGGTTATTTCTTGATCCGCCATTTTGAGAGCCTGTGATTTTTTTCAGCGGATTTTGAGAKCCTGYGATTTTTTTTYRSCKGCTATCTTAACAGGAAAGTGAGTGAGTGACACATCGTCCCCCTCCAATAASTCTTCGATTGCTTACGCAATCYCCGAGTTAAAAATGGCACTYTKTCAYAGAATCTAGCTTTGGGTTCATGTGTATGCTCCWTAGAAACAACCCTTTAYAGTGCAGTCCCAGTACGATATGCTGTTAAGCTTAATTTTATTAACTCATACATGTTGGTCTATAAGATAGTAAAAGAGACCAATGAGACCATTGAAAACAACATTAAATAGAACCAAATATGCTACAAGTTGGTGTTCTAATCTTTCCTATTCTGTTGCATCAAAGATAAGATGATAATGATTTTTTTTTTGCTCTGATTGATCATCTAATACACACGGTCTTTGTATTCTTTGATGGTTGAATTTTCTTCAGTTTTATTACCTGGAAATATTGAATAACTTGTTAGCCTTCTTTTACCTTAAGTCACTACTGSATG